CTGCAGCATGCAGCAGTGCAGCAAATATGCTAAAGCTTCTTCTCTGTCTAAAAAAAACAAAAAATTCGTCTCAAAACATTCACTAAGTTTTAGTCCAGTATATGCTGAAGCTTCTTCTCTGCCTCAAAACTTTCACTAATTATTTTCTCTTTATTTATTAAAACTCTTACATGCAGATTGTGGCGAGGGTACACACTTGAGTGCTCTTGTATAGTCAATCACAAGCTGATTTTCGCCATCTTTACTATAGACCCCTTTGGGCGAGAAGTAGCAGCTTGTGAAATTATTATTAGTCATGTTCAAAGAACAATTGATTTGAAGCCTCTCATTGTACTGAGTTCAGCACAACACAACCTTTTTGGCAAAACAGCTCAACTTTGCACATCAGCCATTGGAACTCTGTATAACTTTGACCTAAAACATGGTGGATGACAACCCCATTTGATATTATTTCTTTGTATATAGAATCATAGATAATAGACACTACGTAACCTAAGACTACATAATAGAGACTCGGTTACGTAGTCTCTATTATCATACTTTAATCTACGCTTTAATTTATGGTAGAATAGATAGAATAGCAGCTCAATCCCAATGCCGTTGATTGCAGTCTGTGCTGTATGTACATAGTATGTTACATTATAGACGGAGGCATCTCCTTGCTTTTTCATAAATAAAGCAAATACAAATGCAAAACTACACACACACACACATACACAAGACATAAAATAAAAGTCAAATGAAAAATGAAAACATTTATGTCATTGCTTCAACAATCATTATCTTGTTTATCTATCTACTATAATGTATGAAATAAAGTAAATTATTGTGACAATCAATAACTTACATGAAGCAGCAATCCTGTCAGCTAATGTAGAAAGAACTACATGATCCTGTTCTCTCAGTATAGACAAGAATGTACTAATTATATCTGGACAAAATTCGATTGTATTTGTAATTTTTTGAAAAAAAACTCCCACTCTTTCTGATAAAGACTGTCGATTCATCCCATCAAATAACTCATCATACTGAGAAGGATTAATAATTTTTGCATCCTTACAACCATTAGCTATGTCACGAAACATTGATAATTCTGAAGAAGATAGAAAACGTTTCAGATCATTAAGATGCTTGTTGATGTCATTTTGTGACCCAGGATTAGGATTATCCTTAGTACTAACAGAATGATCTGCATCTATATGCATACATTATATTAACTATTATTGATTTAATACCAAAAATACATACCTAATAAATCTCTTAGTGATTTATTAATAACAATTTGCTTTGGTTTCTGTACACCTTTCAATGGTACAGAATAACTCAAGTTAGGTACAGTATGGGGACTATTCTCAGCATATATTGATACTAGACAAGATGGAGGAATTGTAGTACTAATGTTACCAAAACCAAGTATTTCATGTTCTTCAATCTATCAAAATAAAAGTAACTAATTGTCTTGTAATTTAGATGAAATAAATTACTTGACAAGGTACTAAATGTGGTTTAACTCTCCATCCAGTTGTTGGTTCTGTTTGCTGCTCATCATTAAATATTAATTCAAGACATCCTTTTGGTGACTGAAGTTTAAAAGTGATGTTTTGATCAAACTCTGCATTGGAATACTCCTTTTTAATATACTAATAAATTAATAAATAATTTAAAATTTTAAAAATAATAAAGGTATATAAATAATTCAATATACCTGATGTAGCACAGTTAAATCTCTCACAGCTGAAAATCTCATTTTATCTGGTCGTTCATAAAATACTTGTCCAGCATACACTGTAGCTTCAGGTATGCCAGTGGAATGAGTAGATACGACTATAAATGAAAGTGAATTTGTACCAATCAATTCCAATATTCATACACTCACTAGTTTTAGATTGTGGTGTACTTAAATCAGAGCCTTCAGTACAATCCACTGGCTCCTTCAATCCATTTTCTTCCTCCTGTCCATCACTCCTTCCTACTCCACCTGATTCTCCTTCTTGTCCTCCTGCTCCTTGTCCTTCTCTTTGTCCCTTACCCTCATCTCCTGAGTCTCCATCTTCCTGTCCATTCCTCTCCTCATTCCTACCTCCTCCATTTTCCTCTTCTTCCTCCCCAACAATAGCTAATTGACAGAACTTGCTTCGTTCAATTGATCCATATCTCTGGTATGCTGGAAACTCCCCTCCTTCAATTAGTGAGAACTGGTAAGGAAGACTAGCTGTGTGAACTGGAGCAACAGCAAATCTGAGATACTTGGATAAAGAAGGATCACTGAGATCAATACAGTGTTGCATTTCTATCCTCAGTGACTTGAGGAGTGGACTGGTTGATATTGCATACACTGCACTGACTAGTCTGGTATTATCAGGAAACCTATAAAAGAATTAATAATTAAAATGCATGTACATGTATACATAATGTATAGT